AAAACTAATTTGAAAGCCAATTTTGGCCAGAGTTTGTGACTAAGTGGCTACTAAAAAAAGACTGAACATACCCCCATTTGCAATACTTTGGGTTGTCTACTAATGCAAATGGTATGCCATCATGGGGGTAATTTTCATTCCTGGGCTACCATACGGTCTCAAAGGCAACATAACCAATCTGGCGAATTACCATGTGAAAAAACTGAAACACAAGCCTTATATTTGACACTGTAACTTTTGGAAACACCATAAAACCTGTTCATGAGGGTTACTGTTATACTTGGGAGACTTCGCTGAACACAAATATTAGTGTTTCAAAACAGTAAAACGTATCACAACAATAATATCGTCCGTGTAAGTGCCATTTGTGTGTGAAAAATGCAAAAAATGTCACTTTCATTGACAATATCGTTGTTGTAATACAATTTACTAGTTTGAAACTCTAATATTTGTGTTCAGCGAAGTCTTCCGAGTAAAACAGTACCCCCCATGTACAGGTTTTATGGTGTCCTAGAAAGTTACAGGGTTAAATATAGTGCTAGCAAATTAAATTCCCTGAACTTTCGGCCTGGGTTGTCAGGCAGGTCCTGCTAATTGTAATTAATAAAAATGACCTAATTATATAACATTATTACATAAATATATACGTAGAATTTTTAAAATTATTTTTATTTATATGTTCTACATGTATTTTGATATCAATATATATATATATATTAATTTTAAAACACAGTTAGAACGAATTTACACATATTTTTTATATTTTTAATGTTTTTAATGTATTTACATATTTATTTATTTTACGTTATATTTAAAATGAAAATTATATATATATTTAATCAATATCATTGTACGTGTATTTTGATATTTATATATATATATAATCTAAGTATGTATTTTATTTTAAACTGTATCTTTAAATTTATTTTTTTTACTATTTTCAGGCAGCAGGGGGAGTACCGGTTATTACAGGCACTCCCCCTGCTGGCACTGGCTATGCTGTCCATGTGATCGTGAGGTCCTTGCAAGGACCTCGCGATCACATGGCCCAGGGGGGGCGAAGAGGAAGGAGGGGGACTCCCTGGGCTCCCAGGTAAGTCCCCATACCGCGATCGCCGGCGTGGGATCGCCGGGGACCGGGTAAGTATAAAGGATGGCTTGGGCGTTCTATGCCACCCGCGGGCGTTAAGAGCCGGGTCCCCAAGGCATAGAACGCCGGCCGTCCTTAAGGGGTTAAACCACCGCATGGCAGGTGATGGGCATTATTATTATTTTTTTGATAAAGCGCCAACAAATTCTGTAGCGCTGTACAATAGGTGGTGATGTGGAATCAATCAATCAATTGATTATCTTGCGTATCTGTCCCCGGCCAAATTTAAAAAGATGCGTGCACGCTCCTGAAGTAATTCCCACCAGACACAGGTTTCGGGTTAATGAAAAACTTGAGGAAAGTTTATTCCCTTATTATATCATATGCATTGTCAGAGATAACATGGAATAATACATCAATAATTGGTTAGGTGTTACGTGGTTCATTTAGTGCCCTTCATACCGGGTGTGATGTCACTGGTATCTTGGAGGTCTCCCCCAGATTCCAGCGCCATCTTGTTAATGAGGGTGTTAGTCGATGTCGAAGGGAAACTCCCTAGCGGCCATTTTAGGTAAATCACATATACGGTTGAATAATGCTGATTGTGGTTATGCTGAGTAAATAGGCATTTTACTAACATAAATTGAGTTAATATTTTTGTCCACAACAGTCCCCACTTAAAATGACTATTTACTAAAGAGATAACTACTAACTGACCCTAATAATGTCCCTACTTGGCTGCAGCTTATCTGTCTGAACAGGCCTCGAACGCTTCACTGCGCGGGTATCCCGTAGTGACTAACCCACTACATCTCCCACGTCAGACTCCTACCCGTGGAGAAGTAGTTGTCCTTTTGAGGTGGTGGGACTGAAGTGGTGTGTGCGGGGTGTCACAGTCTATATCGTCAATAACTTGATGTAGGAATGTAGGTGTGGTGCGGTCAATGGTCTGATCTACAGTCTTTTGTAGGTACCTTTGCACCCAGGGCATCACGCAGCAAACCAGGAAGAGGAGGAGAATCACTACTGTAAGAACTGCCATACCTACTTGAAAGAGAACTCTCTGCCGTCCACTCATCTATCCCAACCATCTGTCCCATGAATTGGAGACCCCTGAGTTCCATTTTAATTTGTCAGAGAGACTTTCTAATTTCTCTATGGCCATGATTACTTTACCATTGGGGCCTGTATTATCTGGAATGAAGGTACAGCATGTCATAGTGTCGGGAAGTATTTTACACCCCCCCCCCTTTTCTGCTAGGATCATGTCTAAGGCCATTCGATTCTGGAATGTCATTTGGGAGGTAGCCTGCGATTGTTCTGCCAAACCTTGAAGGGCATCCCTAATATAATTGACAAAACGTTGCTGATTATAATAGATATAATTAATCCAGTTAACATTCTTGTTAGCGGTGATGAGTGGGATCAAGCATTCGAATCCTGCCGCAACCTCATCTCTGGGCCTTGAACTTGTTTGGTAGCCCCCTTGGTACACCTATGGCATCGATATATATATGTGGGTCGAAACTACCTCGAACAGGGGTCTCTCTTTTTATCCTGAAGTACGTGTGTGGGGAATCAAGTGGGCCTTGGTGGTTATCAGAATTTATATGTATAGGCATGATGGCTTTGGGCAGAGTGCATTCTCCCCACCACAGGCCAGTCATTTTAGATCCTAGTTGCATATCACCACATAAATGTCTCCCAAGAACTTGACTTGATTTACCAATAAGGTAGTGGGAGGTGTCCGATAGGTGGCAAAGTAGCCAGGAGGGAAACTACCCACAAATTTACCTGTGGTTCTGTGTATAGTGTAGCAAGTGTAATTACCTGGATACACGGTGATTCCATCAGGTGGCCTGAGATTCCCTTGAGTTATTAGATATACATTTTTCCATGATTCACATACTGATGAGTTTGTGGCTGATTGTACATAGAGGCTTAGAAAACACAGCTCAACGTCAGGGGGTGTTGTGGTGTGACCTAAATATGAATATTAATCTCTTAATACATAATAATTAAGCAATACGGAACAACATTAATATTTTTATAATTCATGGTATTATGGTAGATTAAAAGGCACTATACCCAGATGGGGTCTGGCCTCGCCACAGACATAACAGTTAGTTTTATTGTGTGAATTAGCATTATACCTCATCCACTCGAGCCATAGGTTGGTATCTGAAAAACCGGTCTCCACAGCCATAGTTTCCTCAAATGTATGATTGGCAATTGCCACCATGTCCTTAAGAGTTTTAATGTGTGGTTTTAGAGGGTTCGTGATCATGTGTGTAGAGTCTATCCAGTCAGGTGATGTATGCATGTCTTGTAAATAGAAGGTCCCAAACTTGTTACATGAGCCACCCCCTCTCCAGTACATCCCCATTACGTACTCTCCAGTGTCTCCTGGGCTGGGATGTTCTATGTTTAAGGTGAGTTTCATTGGGGTAGACTCTGTTGGCTTACATAAGGTCATTCTGTGTAATAAGGGTTTCCCATGTCTGTCCACCCTATCCAAGGCGCTTTGTGGTCTGTAGCCCCATGGTCGGCCTATGTTCCAACCTGCTACAATGATGTCCCCAATGGTCACCTGTCACACAAATGTAGGAGTCCTTTCTATTGGGTATGTCTTTGTATATTGCTGAGTGTTGTGTTTGTGGAAAAGTACAAGGAACAATATCACAGCAATCAAAGGTAAAAGTAGCTACATGTGTGTTTGAAGAGTTATACCAGAATGTGTAAACACGATTATCTTTGGTGATAGCAACTTGTTGGGCCTTTAATAGGCCTAGCAGCAGAAATAGACACAGGAAGCTCATAGTTTAGCGGGACCAGTTTCCTCTGCATCAGGACCTTTCTTACAGTGCGAGGCATGTATCCAGGTATTGTGGGGATATTTATGGGATGATAATATTAAACAGTCGAGAATTGCCCACTATTTCAATTCTCTTAGATCTTAGAGATCGTTTATCATGTAAGTGAAATGTATTCCATACAAATAAAATCACAATTTGTTATAAAAATAAAATTTATTGTAACAATTAATTAACAATATTAGGCAGCATGCATGATAATAATCAGTGAATATTTAGTATAACATAAGTGTAATGATATTGATGTTACAAAGTTTTGGAGTCCAGTAGCCAGATCAGCAATATTTTCTGCCAGAGTTAGCCACTCGTTACCCAGGTGGTTGAGCCCCTGAGCCTTGAGTGGCCTTCTGGTCTTAAGCAGAGATGGGAGACTGGAACAGAAAGATGATAATTGTAGTGAGGCAAGCTGAGGTCAGTGGGAAGGAGAAGCAGCAAAGTCAAAACAGTCCAAATTCGGCAACAGGAAGGAGAAACAGGAACACGCTTGATTAGAGAGTACAGGAACCACAATAATCTGGCAAAGGTACAGAGACAGGAAGTGGCTTTTATAGGCCAAGAACCAGACACCTGACCAGACACAGCTGAAGAGAGTTGTCACTGATAACCTTGACTCTACAAGCAATAGTATCAGATCTCAGGTAAATCTGCAAAAGGCAGGCTGGTGTACTGGTAAGGAAGAGGTTTAGCACCATGTAAACCAGGGTTCGAAACCCAGCAGAGTCCGTTCCTCACATTACCTCCACCTCTACAGGCGCAGCCTCTGGATGCCCTATTTCCTGGTTTAGCAGGGTACTGTGCATGGAAAGACTGAAGAAGATCAGGAGCGTGAATATTGTCCACTGGTTCCCACGATCTATCCTCTTCACTGTACCCTTTCCAATGAACCAAATATTGAAGCTTTTTGTGGAAGATCCTGGAGTCAAGAATTTTTTCCACCTCGTATTCATCTTCACCATCCACGAGGACTGGTGGTGGGGCAGGCAGGGCTCGACCAGGGAAAGTATTTTCATGAAAAGGATTAAGCAGTGCCACGTGAAACACCGGATGTATTTTCATGGAATCCGGAAGTTGCAGACGGAAGGTGACTGCATTGATCTGAGCGGTGATAATGAGATTACCCATTGTGTTCAGTAATCATATCACATGCAGAGGGGAGGATTTTGTGTGGGAGTGTCTGGGTGTATTGTACGGATTGATTGGGTGTTTTGTAACACCCTGTGGGCTGTACTATGTTTGTGGATTGGGAATAAAAGAGACTGTATGTGCCAGTACAGAGAGTTCCTGTTTTAACCCTCAAAGTGAAGTGTCGTCTCATTATTGGGGGAAGGACTTATTGTATGCTGTTCCAGTTTGACTGCTAGGAGAGTAAACCTATTCGTATGGTTCCTATTCAACTGTCTACAGCATTCACATGCTTGAGAGGATTCATATGCTTCTCCGGTTCGGTGGTTGTCGTGTCTGCTGCAGTGCTTGGAGTCCTTAGGAAGCGCTAGGAGCATCCTTCAACGGAGGTACCCAGTCGGGGTGCCAGGCGATCCGTTACAAGCGGTCCACAACAACAAGAATGGTAGTGTGTTCCTTAGAGGGAGGTAGTTCCACAATAAAGTCCATGGATATAGATCCCCAGGGATGATGAGGAATCGGAAGAGGCTGAAGCAAGCCAACAGGGGATGAGCGAGGAGTCTTATGTCTGGCATATACATCACAAGAGGAGACATACTTCTTAACATCCTCATAATATTTAGGCCACCAAAAGGATCGGGTAAGTAGCTCTTGTGTCTTTCGGATTCCTGGATGACCTGCTGGTTTAGAGTCATGGTAGAGGCGTAAAACGTCCAGTCGCACTGATTCTGGAACAAACAGACGTTGTTGAAAAATCCAAAACCCATTAAGCATGGTCATATGAAGATCACGAGGAGGATCACGAAAAACTGGATCTTTAGAGTAGCCCTTTTTAATGCGAGACATTAGATCAGAATGAAAGGTAACTCCTAAAAATTTACTCTCCGGCAAGATGGTGGCCTTGGTTACTGTAGTATGGAGGGGGTCAGCTATCCTAGACAAGGCATCCGCCTTGCCATTTCTGGAACCAGGGCGGTATGAAATAAAAAAATTAATCCTTGAGAAAAATAGGGACCAGCATGCTTGTCTGGCTGACAGTCTCTTAGCGGATTGAATACATTCCAGATTTTTGTGATCTGTGAGGACAGTAATTGGATGGGTGGCTCCCTCCAAGAGATGTCTCCATTCGGCGAAGGCAGCTTTTATAGCCAAAAGTTCTTTATTCCCTATGTCATAATTTCTTTCTGCTGGTAACATCTGGCGGGAATAGAAGGCACATGGATGTAACATCTTAGGTCCAGTCCTTTGAGACAGTATAGCCCCAACAGCTGAATCAGAAGCATCCACCTCTACAGTAAATGGCAATTCTGGCTGAGGATGTACCAAGATAGGGGCAGATGTAAACAGAGTCTTTAATCTGGAAAATGCAGTGTCAGCCTTATTGGACCACTGAAAAGGAGTCCCTTTACGTGTAAGTTCAGTGATCGGTGTAATAACGGCAGAGAAATTCTTAATGAAACGCCTGTAAAAATTGGCAAACCCCACAAATCTCTGTATATCTTTTTCATTCTTGGGGATGGGCCAGTCCAGCACAGCTTTAATTTTACTTGCGTCCATACTTAAACCTTTAGGAGTTATTACATACCCCAGGAACTGAATTTCTGTTTGTTCAAACTCACATTTTTCCAGTTTAATGTATAGGTGGTGGGTACGAAGGCGCTCAAGAACAATGCAGACCTGTTTTCTGTGATTTTCAAGATTATCAGAAAATATCAGGATATCATCCAAATATGCCACAACAAACTGATCCAGGAGATCCCGTACTACATAATTGATTAGATGCTGAAAAGTTGCAGGGGCATTACAAACCCAAATGGCATTACTAGATATTCGTAATGTCCGTACCTGGTTCTGAAAGCTGTTTTCCATTCATCATTTGGTCTTATGCGAACCAGATTATATGCCCCCCGTAGATCAAGCTTCGTAAATATTTTAGCTGAACGAAGTCTCTCCAGAAGTTCAGGAATGAGAGGCAAGGAATAACGGTTTTTAACAGTGATTTTATTAATGTCCCTGTAATCGACACATGGCCGTAGACTGCCATCTTTCTTTTCTACAAAGAATATAGGAGCTCCTGCTGGAGAAGTAGATGGTCGAATAAAGCCTTTGGCAAGATTTTCTTGTATGTATTCACAAAGTGCTTTCAATTCAGGCTCAGAAAGGGAGTATATACGGCCAAATGGGATAGCAGCTCCAGGTAGCAGCTCTATGGGGCAATCATAAGGCCTGTGAGGTGGAAGCTGATCAGCATTCTTCTTATCACAGACATCTGCAAAATCCCGATATTGTAGAGGAAGCTTAGTTAAGTTTATAGAAGGAAAGAAACACTAGTGTCCCAATAGGGAGACTATTGTGTTAATGCGTCAGGGACAACCTCATAGGGGATAACCCTTAATTAAGTAGAGAATAAAGAAAATTCCAGCGAAAAAATCTCTGGAATAATAGGTAGGAGGTCCCTCTAACCATCAGATGGATAATGTAAAATATAACTTTTATTAGTAAATTTTAAAATCAAAAAGAAGTGTGTATGTAGGAATTAATCAGAATAAAAATAAAAAATAGACAGGCAGATTGGTAAATATGTCCACTAGTTGTAAAAAGATGAGAGTACTAGGTCTATAAATATAGAACAAAATGACATCAACCAATGGATCATAGAGTCCCCACTCTGGGAAATGGAGAGATATATAGAGTGAACAAACTACCAATATTGTGAGACACTCACACTGCAACAATTATATCTCAAATGTCTAGATAATAAGTTATCATTAGTTGTAGATTGTTGCAAAAATTGTTATGAATGCTTAAATTATAAACATGGGCTGTCTAAATCAGAGAGAAAAGCCCATAATAATAAAGCAAAAGTAAAAATAAAAAGTAACAATAAGGAAGAGAGAGAGATCCCCTACAGTCAATTGGTAAGGCAACAAATGTATAACAGGTGCCTAAATAGTCTGTTTTCCTGAATATAAAGTGTTGCAAAAAAGAAATATATAAATGCTTGATAAATATAAATGGGCTATCTAAATCCAAACGAGCCCAAAATAATTAAGCATGAATAGAGATTGACAATAGGATAAAGAAGAGATCCCCTACAATT